TTAAAAAAGTATTAATTTAATTTAATTTAATTATTAAAAATCATTCATAATTAATAAAATAATTAATATATTATATATTATGAAAAAATATATATTAATTATATTTAATTTAATTAATAAAAATAATTAATAATTATAATTGTTAAATAAGAATTAATAAAATAATAACTATTTATTAATTAATAAATTAAAATCAGTTAATAAATTAATATTTATAGGCATTTTTAACAAAAAAAATAAATATTAATGATTTTAACATTTTTAATAACGGCAATAATCATTTAAAAAAAATTATATCTAATATAATTAATTAATTTTTTATAATCACTTATGTCACTTCCCTTACAAAAAGACTTAAAACGAAACTTTTATAAGAAAATGATAATATAGTTGATTTTTTTATAATCAATTATGTAATTGATAAAATTACGTGTTTATAACTCTATGTTGTGCAATTTCCTTGAATTCTCATTTTTCCAAGGAAAGAACATGTCAAACAGGCGCCCTAACGACTTTTTCAACGGTTTAAGTATCATTTTAGTCCCTCAACTTTTTACTTTGGTATCAAAATTGTCCTTTAACTTTAAAAAATATCAAAATTATCCTTAAATTTTTATTTTTATATCAAAATAATCCTTCCGTCAGTTAAATGACACGTCACGTTAACTTGCTAGCAAATCAATTCTTTTTTCTTCTTAACTAATGACATGGCACTTTTTTTATGAGTTGACATTTTATTTAATTTAAAAATAATGATATATTTTTTTTTCATCCACATCATCTCTTCTTCTTCCTTCATTTTCTCTCTCCTTTACTTTTCCTTTTTCCTTATCTCTATAAACCCAGATTTGGGTTTCATCACATAAATTAACGATCTAAAGAAGTTAGTGATGATAAGAAAATGAAGATCGACCACTCGCTTGGGACTATCAAGTCCAATGGCATCCAGAAAGTTCTTGCTCTCCGTGGAGATCCGAGGTTTGTTCAATGTACAAGATTTTTTCACTTATTGAGTGAGTTTTGATTTTGGGTGCTTACCTTGCTTCTTTTCTTGATTTGCAGGGTTTGCGTTTGTCTGGTTCGCCTTGTTGATGACCACTTAAGATTTTTTTCAAAATAAATGAAAAATTAAGATTTATCATTATTAAGTGTGAAAAATATAAAAGAAAAGGGAGTCGCCACTCGTCCAAATTATAAGGTGGGACAAGTCACCTAAAACAGGTTTGCGCAGAGATCGAGATTTGGGGGTTCGATTAGGAATGAGGAAAGGCATACGCACACCTCACAATCCTCCGTTTACACACGGTTGCATACTTTAACATTGGGGGTTTTAATTCAACTTATTTATTATATTTATATTTGGGTCTTAATAGACAAACTTGAAAAAGAGATAAACCAAATTGCAACATTTTTAACATTTTGGACTAAAATGGATGAAATCAAAGACATGCATGCACAATGAACACAAGTAAAAATTAAAGGGACTGATTTGATTAAAATAAAAATAGAGGACTGATTTGAAAAGGTTTGAAACTGTTGGACTAAAGTGCTTAAACATGAAAGTTTTGTGTGAAATTGAAATAAAAGAGATAACTTTTGATTTTTTTTTTTAAAACAAGATTAAGGCAAACAGAAGATTTAAAATTATTTAATTATGATAATTAGTTCAATTGAATGACTAACTTATCATTAATTAAAATGAATTAAAATTAATTAATCATATTTATTAACCTCTAATCAAGATAATTAAGTGAATCTAATTATCTCAAATTAAAGACAATAAACATAATTAATTCACTCTAATTAAAATTAATTAACTTTATTAATCACATATTAAACTAATTATCATAATCAATTTATCATTTTATTTACTTCTTTTTTTTTTTTATAGTGTTTATGTGTGTATATATATATATACATATACTTGCCCCAAAACACGGACTATCAACCAAAAATAAGGAAAAACAGATTAAAATCTAGACAGAAATGAAACCTGGACAGAAAAACAAAATGGAATTTAAAGTTCCTATTCAGCCATTCAACTAAACAAACAAAAGAAAACAAATATATAGATCCATGAAACTCAGCATATAATGCTTGATTCTATTCATAATATCATCATCCAACACAACTCCAATACATCAAGATTTGAAAAAAATTGAAACGAACAAGGCGGGAATTTTTGGAGAAGACAGATCAGGATTAGAAGAAGGGATCCCACCCACGGGATCACACTCCATTCGTCTCCATCACTACCTTTCCCAAAAAAAAAATCCCTCTGTTTAGAAAATTACCTAAAGCAAGCAAGAAACAGACACAGAAAAATAAACCTCTTTTCAATCACCGTCGACCTCCAAAAAAATATTCTCCTTCGTCAACACCACACCACCTTCAAAAACAAGCCAAAAAAACCCCAAAATCAAACTCCAAACTCCCTCCGAACTCCAAAAAAAATCCCCCCTAGACCTCTGCCTTTTGCTCTATATATACACCCAAAATGACAAAATAAAAATGCAACCACAAAAAAGAGGGGCCTTGCTCTGTCAATCAATGATGCCAATTTTGTCCGGTATTGGCTGTTTTTTTTTGTATGGATGTAGTGTGCAGAAGGCAGGGGCAATGGAATTGGGCGTAGAGCAAGGCTGGTGCAGGAAGCAAGGCTGGGCGGCAAGGGCAGGGCTCGGTGCAGCAGAGGGGTGAAGGGGGGTATGATGGCTCCGGCATACAGGGCATGATTGCACGAAGTCTGGGCGCAGAGGAGATATCTGGGAGCAGAAGGCACGGTCAAGCGCAGGAGCAAGGCTCGGGTGCAAGGCAGGGGACCTGTGG